CCAAAACCCCGTTTATCTCACCCCGACGGCTCCAGGAGCGCGGCCCGTCCCTCCGGGGCCCGGCTGAGGTTGCAGAGCAGCGCCCCGAGCTCCTCCGGCGGCCGCTCCGCGCTCAGCGCCCGCAGCAGCGGCCCCGCGCCGGGGCCCAGCGCCCGCAGCACCCGCGGCGCCGCCGCCTCGTCCCGGCCCAGGTTGGCCAGCACCCCGCAGGCCGGCCCGGAGCCGGGCAGGAGCTCGGCGAGCCAAGGGACCGCGGGGAGCAGCGGCTCCAGCGCGGCCGGCTCCGAGGACGCGTTCACCAGCGCGGCCAAGGCGGGCTCCGAGCCACGCGAGGCCGAGGCGGCCAGGCCGCACAAGGCCGCCAAGGCCGCGGGGTGTCCCGCCAGCAGCGCCCGGCCCGAGGCGCTGCCCGACAGCGCCAGGGCGGCCTCGGCAGCCGCGGGAGCGGCGGGGGAGGACGGAGAGAGCAGCGCCGCCAGCTCCGACAGCGCCGCGGCCGCCGCGGCACCATCGCTCTCCGCCTCCTCCATCGCCGCCGCCTCCTTCGCGTCCGCCGCCATGGCCGCGTCGCTTAGCAACGGCGAGGCGGGAGGGTGCGACGGCCAATCAGCGCCGCGGAAACTGGGAGGTGGGGAGGGTTAGCCAATGGGGTGCGGGTGCGCTGCCGGGAAGGGAGGGTTGTACGGAAAAGCGCCGTGCGGGCTCCCACACGAGGCGCCAGTGAGGTCACGGAACCGGTCAGGCCACGAAACACGCACCGGGCCGGTGCCGCCGAGGTGGTGTGCGCTCGCGGGCCTCGGCCGCCACCGGCACTGGTTTCAGCGCTGGCTCTGTCTTCTCCTCCTGCGCCGCCATAGTCGGGACACAAAAATGTCGGCCTCGCCTGGCAACCAGCGTGATTGACAGGCCGAGCAGCCAATCGGCGCCGCGAAGCGCGGGGCGGTAAAGAGCTAAACCAATGGGGTGCGGCTGGAAAGCCGGAAGGGGAGGGGCTGTGGCAGAGAGGCATTGTGGGAAGGACGGCTGTACGGAAAGGAGCGGCGCGGCCCCTCAGGCAGGGCCCCGCTGAGGCCCGAACCGCAACCCGGTTCCGGGGCCTCTCCGAATCTCTTAAACCCGGCCTAAATCTCGGAAATCAGCCCCAAATTACCCGAACCAGGCCTAAATCCCGGAAATCACTTGAAACCGCTTCAATCAGGGACAAATTCCCAAACCAGCCCTAAATCCCTTAACTCAGCCCCAAATTCCAAAACCAGCCCTAAATCCCTTAACTCAGCCCCAAATTTCCAAAACCAGCCCTAAATCCCTTAACTCAGCGCCAAATTCCCGATCCAGCTGAAGCCCACGCCCGCAGATGAAATCCCAGCTCTAAAAGGCTTCACTGGGGTGGAACTCCTCCAAACCAGGCCTGGGGTTCTTAAACCCGGTTTAAATCCCTTAAAGCAAGTCCAAATTCCTGGGGGACACCAAGCCCTGGGGACACCAAAGCCTTGGGGACACCAAGCCCTTAGGGACACCAAACCCTCAATGCCACTCATGGATAAAAGGATTTTTCCATGGATAAGGGGATTTCCCCCATAAATAGAGGGATATTCCCATGGATAAAGGGATATTCCCATGGATAAAGGGATATTCCCATGAATAAATTGATATTCCCATGGATAAATGGATTTCCCCCATAAATAGAGGAATATTCCCATGGATAAAGGAATGTTTCCCATAAATAAAAGGACATTCCAATGGATAAAGGCGCTTTTTCAACTATTAAAGGGCTTCCCAAAGGATAAAGGAGTTTTTCCAATAAATAAGGTTTTCCAATGGATAAAGTCGGGTTGGAGGTCCCACCCCCCGTGGGAATGGCAACATCCCAGGGGTACCCCCGGGAATTGGGGGCAAATCCCAGGAATCCTTTACTGGGGGCGGAATTCCAACGTTCCGGGAGGAGTTCAGGGGGAATGAAGGAGGGGATTTTGGGGGGGGGGCTCAGGGGCCCCTCCAGATCCCAAGGGTGGGACCCCCTGATCCAGATCCCAAGGGAGGCACAGGTGGAACCCCCTGATCCAGATCCCAAATCCCAAGGGAGGCACAGATGGGATCCCCCTGATCCAGATCCCAAGGGAGGTGCAGGTGGGATCCCCCGATCCAGATCCCAAGGGAGGCGCAGGTGGAACCCCCTGATCCAGATCCCAGGGGAGGCACAGGTGGGATCCCCCTGATCCAGATCCCAGGGGAGGTGCAGGTGGAACCCCCTGATCCAGATCCCAAGGGAGGCACAGGTGGGATCCCCTGATCCAGATCCCAAGGGAGGTGCAGATGGGATCCCCCTGATCCAGATCCTCCCAAGGGAAGCGCAGGTGGAACCCCCTGATCCAGATCCCAAGGGAGGTGCAGATGGGATCCCCTGATCCAGATCCTCCCAAGGGAGGCGCAGGTGGAACCCCCTGATCCAGATCCCAAGGGAGG